AAGATCTAAAAATTCTTTGCACCGCCATTTGTACGTGCCCAACGAGAGATTTTTGTGACAAAAGGCCGGCGGAAAAACCGGCGGGGAAAACTTTGCGAGCTCAATCTTTGTGTCTGCGCCACATTTTTATTTTCTAATTTATTTCTTTTTAATTTTAATTTATTTTCATTTATTATTGCAGGCTCTTTTCTGGACGCGCTTGTTTATTTTTCGTTTGGTTTTTACTTGAACAAACTGACGACTGGCGCCCTTTATATATATATTGACCTTGGAAAACTGTCCGCTGGCATTAAAATCGACGCCGGGTGAAAATTCGTTGAAACGAGAAAAGCGGAGACAGCATTAAAATTTTTTCCTGCATACGCGTAGGCGCCGTCAACACGTGACGGGCAAATCAAGTTTGAAAGTCCTGCCAGGGGTGAAAAAAATCACCAGCAGCTGCTTCAAGTCAGGTGCCCGAAACAAAAAAAAACGCTTGCAAAAACATTCGTTGAACGTGGAACGAAAAATAAAACAGGCAAAACTTGTATGTTAAATCGGGAGAATATCACAAAATTCCTCCACACCTTGCTTAAAATAACAAATTTATTTTCTTTTAAAATCTAAACAGCTACCAAAAATACTTTAAATAAATGCCATTTGATAACAATTCTCGCAATAAACATTTTTATTTGCTTCATTTTGTTTTATTTTTTACTGGCTTACTTACTAAGTTTAAGATAGAAGGATATGACCGCCCGCATCGTTGTGGAACAACCCCTTTCAAAATGGTAATAGGATATCGAACAACACATTTTCGAGCGTTTTTTCGAAAAAATGGAAGGCTAAACATCAAACATGGAAGGAGATATAAACTCTAGAAAGTCCAGTTTTGGCCCGATCCGGCAAACTTGCAAATTTTCGGAATCAGCGTTCGAATGTTCATTGAACTGCATACCACGTTTTTCGATATCGAACAATTAATTTTTGACCGTTTTTTGCGAAAAAATGGAAAGGCTAAACATCACGATTTTTTCGATTTTGGCCGAAAAACTTTTTGTCCGATTTCGGCAAAATTGGTGTGCAGTTCGATAGACTTTGGGGCGCTGATTTCGAAAACGCCAAGCGTTGCCAGATCGGAGCTTAAATGGCCGAGATATGGGCTCTAGAATCTCTGTTTCTACCCCGATCTGGCAACCCTGCACATTTTCGGAATCAGCGTTCAAATATCCATCGAACTGCATACCACGTTTTTCGATATCAAACAATTCATTTTTGACCGTTTTTTCGAAAAAATGGAAAGGCTAAACATCACGATTTTTTCGATTTTGGCCGAAAAACTTTTTGTCCGATTTCGGCAAAATTGGTGTGCAGTTCGATAGACTTTGGGGCGCTGATTTCAAAAACGCCAAGCGTTGCCAGATCGGAGCTTAAATGGCCGAGATATGGGCTCTAGAATCTCTGTTTCTACCCCGATCTGGCAACCCTGCACATTTTCGGAATCAGCGTTCAAATATCCATCGAACTGCATACCACGTTTTTCGATATCAAACAATTCATTTTTGACCGTTTTTTCGAAAAAATGGAAAGGCTAAACATCACGATTTTTTCGATTTTGGCCGAAAAACTTTTGTCCGATTTCGGCAAAATTGGTGTGCAGTTCGATAGACTTTGGGGCGCTGATTTCAAAAACGCCAAGCGTTGCCAGATCGGAGCTTAAATGGCCGAGATATGGGCTCTAGAATCTCTGTTTCTACCCCGATCTGGCAACCCTGCACATTTTCGGAATCAGCGTTCAAATATCCATCGAACTGCATACCACGTTTTTCGATATCAAACAATTCATTTTTGACCGTTTTTTCGAAAAAATGGAAAGGCTAAACATCACGATTTTTTCGATTTTGGCCGAAAAACTTTTTGTCCAATTTCGGCAAAATTGGTGTGCAGTTCGATAGACTTTGGGGCGCTGATTTCGAAAACGCCAAGCGTTGCCAGATCGGAGCTTAAATGGCCGAGATATGGGCTCTAGAATCTCTGTTTCTACCCCGATCTGGCAACCCTGCACATTTTCGGAATCAGCGTTCAAATATCCATCGAACTGCATACCACGTTTTTCGATATCAAACAATTCATTTTTGACCGTTTTTTCGAAAAAATGGAAAGGCTAAACATCACGATTTTTTCGATTTTGGCCGAAAAACTTTTTGTCCGATTTCGGCAAAATTGGTGTGCAGTTCGATAGACTTTGGGGCGCTGATTTCGAAAACGCCAAGCGTTGCCAGATCGGAGCTTAAATGGCCAAGATATGGGCTCTAGAATCTCTGTTTCTACCCCGATCTGGCAGCCCTGCACATTTTCGGAATCAGCGTTCGAATTTCCATCGAACTGCATACCACGTTTTTCGATATCGAACAATTAATTTTTGACCGTTTTTTCGAAAAAATGGAAAGGCTAAACATCACGATTTTTTCGATTTTGGCCGAAAAACTTTTTGTCCGATTTCGGCAAAATTGGTGTGCAGTTCGATAGACTTTGGGGCGCTGATTTCGAAAACGCCAAGCGTTGCCAGATCGGAGCTTAAATGGCCGAGATATGGGCTCTAGAATCTCTGTTTCTACCCCGATCTGGCAACCCTGCACATTTTCGGAATCAGCGTTCAAATATCCATCGAACTGCATACCACGTTTTTCGATATCAAACAATTCATTTTTGACCGTTTTTTCGAAAAAATGGAAAGGCTAAACATCACGATTTTTTCGATTTTGGCCGAAAAACTTTTTGTCCGATTTCGGCAAAATTGGTGTGCAGTTCGATAGACTTTGGGGCGCTGATTTCGAAAACGCCAAGCGTTGCCAGATCGGAGCTTAAATGGCCGAGATATGGGCTCTAGAATCTCTGTTTCTACCCCGATCTGGCAACCCTGCACATTTTCGGAATCAGCGTTCAAATATCCATCGAACTGCATACCACGTTTTTCGATATCAAACAATTCATTTTTGACCGTTTTTTCGAAAAAATGGAAAGGCTAAACATCACGATTTTTTCGATTTTGGCCGAAAAACTTTTTGTCCGATTTCGGCAAAATTGGTGTGCAGTTCGATAGACTTTGGGGCGCTGATTTCGAAAACGCCAAGCGTTGCCAGATCGGAGCTTAAATGGCCAAGATATGGGCTCTAGAATCTCTGTTTCTACCCCGATCTGGCAGCCCTGCACATTTTCGGAATCAGCGTTCGAATTTCCATCGAACTGCATACCACGTTTTTCGATATCGAACAATTAATTTTTGACCGTTTTTTCGAAAAAATGGAAAGGCTAAACATCACGATTTTTTCGATTTTGGCCGAAAAACTTTTTGTCCGATTTCGGCAAAATTGGTGTGCAGTTCGATAGACTTTGGGGCGCTGATTTCGAAAACGCCAAGCGTTGCCAGATCGGAGCTTAAATGGCCGAGATATGGGCTCTAGAATCTCTGTTTCTACCCCGATCTGGCAACCCTGCACATTTTCGGAATCAGCGTTCGAATGTTCATTGAACTGCATACCACGTTTTTCGATATCGAACAATTAATTTTTGACCGTTTTTTGCGAAAAAATGGAAAGGCTAAACATCACGATTTTTTCGATTTTGGCCGAAAAACTTTTTGTCCGATTTCGGCAAAATTGGTGTGCAGTTCGATAGACTTTGGGGCGCTGATTTCGAAAACGCCAAGCGTTGCCAGATCGGAGCTTAAATGGCCGAGATATGGGCTCTAGAATCTCTGTTTCTACCCCGATCTGGCAACCCTGCACATTTTCGGAATCAGCGTTCAAATATCCATCGAACTGCATACCACGTTTTTCGATATCAAACAATTCATTTTTGACCGTTTTTTCGAAAAAATGGAAAGGCTAAACATCACGATTTTTTCGATTTTGGCCGAAAAACTTTTTGTCCGATTTCGGCAAAATTGGTGTGCAGTTCGATAGACTTTGGGGCGCTGATTTCGAAAACGCCAAGCGTTGCCAGATCGGAGCTTAAATGGCCGAGATATGGGCTCTAGAATCTCTGTTTCTACCCCGATCTGGCAACACTGCACATTTTCGGAATCAGCGTTCAAATATCCATCGAACTGCATACCACGTTTTTCGATATCAAACAATTCATTTTTGACCGTTTTTTCGAAAAAATGGTTAATAAAAGTTAATAAAAGTTAAGATATAATCCAGAGATATACATAGATGCCAAATCGGGCCAAGGTTTCGTTGATATGGATCGACAAATGGCCATTTCCGTCCTTCAAAGTATATTATGTTTGGGGAAAATGACAAAATTTTTATTTCCCCCTAGAGTAAAACACACAAAACATCCTTATTTTTATTGAATACTAAGGAGATAGTCTTTTAATACTATAAGTAACCTTATATTATCTTGAAATATAAGATAGGTATTAAATATAATATTTTAAAATACTTCTAGCATAAGGGCGTAAGTTCCGATACTTTTTTGAAGGCATGGGCGACGGCGCAAAGTTAAATATCCTTTTTCAGGATACACGTTCACCTGGAGAATAGAACCATGATAGATCAACACAATATTTTATTCACTTAGTAGAGATCTTTACTTACCGAAAATCACGGGGTAGAACTTGCAGGATGGAAATACTAATATTAACAGAGGCCCTTATGTTCCGGTTTTACAAACGCAGCGATAAAATATTTTCAATGCAGCTTTTACATTAAGCAAAGAGTACTATGATCACATAGTAGCGTTCTAAGATCCTCGCCGGTCCGCATACTTTTCTTTCGAACCGTCGAGAACAACCGCATGCTGGCCACATTAGTTATTTATTTTTGCGTATCTCCAGGTCATCTCCAGGTAGAATCTCATTTACGTTAATGTACCTTGTGTACTGTCAAGGTACCGGTGAATCTAATCTACCGTCAATGCTTGTGTGTATTTCACTGTGAAAACATTTATGGAGGGTCAAAAGAGACTAATGTCTCCTAAAATAATATTTTCCAACCATACTTACTTAGTAGTTCTGAATATGTCCGTGGCCAACAGGGTCCACTTTTTATGGTTTGCCTTTCGTTGCGTCGTCGGTATAAGTTCCTTGATTTTTTCGCGGCAAGCTTAGGATTTCTTGTATCGTTTCGTTCAAAGTTTGTGTGGTCTTCTAAGCAAACAATTTGGGTGGGTTGAAGCTGGAAAGAAACTTATATTAATGAAGGCCATCTAGTTTGATCAATACTAACTGCTTATCCAAACGCTGTCTTTAAAATATGTATGTATTTTCTATGCAGTTTTTTGGACAAAGTCGCCGCCTTCCCAGTTCCATGCGAGATAGACAGAAGATATTATTTACATTTTAAATGCGTTTTAAGATCTTCGCCGGTATCCTAGTATATTTCTCATGATGGCAATCAAAAGAAATGGCGGATGGCGAAAACAGGATGTATTGAAACTGGAAAGTATTGGAATGTTAGCAACTGTGCTATAAAGATAACCTGTGATGTTAAGCAAAAGAGAGTACAGTGTGCATTAAAATGCAAGATCACTTGTGGAGTAAAATGTGTGTTGTTTAACGAAAAATCTTCAAACGACTAAGATAATTTGACTTTAAATTTTTATGGCCAAAAAAACTAATTCTTGCAAAATTTATGGTTGCTCGTGCATGTAATAATAAATGTGAAAGTTAATCAAATGCATGTTGGCCTGCAAATGAAGTCGTAAGATCGCCGCTGGTCTTAAACAAAACTTACAACTTGCAAGTCAAGTTAGGAAAGAGAATTCTTGTTGAACTCCAAGGAAATACCAAAAATACAATAGAGAAAGTTCAACAAGAGTGGCAAAAGCAAAAGCAGAAGGAAAACCAGAAGCGTAGCATGCTGCTGACAATAAAAACAATTTACAAGTTTTTAGGAGAGGCACACCATGCCCCAAAGGGATGCCACCTCCGCCACAGTACCACCCCCCCTTTTGGCTGCAACTGATTGATCCATCCACCCAAAAAAAAAAACTTTTTTGAGTGTGTTTGGCCAAGAAGTCGGATCGGAAAAGTTGCCGCTTTTGCTGTTAGCAAGTTTTTAGCGCGAGTGCAACTGAATCAGTTTCAAAAGTGCCCCAAAAGAGCCCCCCAAACTATGCAGTGTATATAGTGTATGTACTTACGTTTATACATATATAGGGAATATATACAGCCCATTTAATTGCCGGACAAAACTCCATAAACATGGCCAGAATCCAGGACCAGGCCAAAGACAATGGCTTAGACAACCCAATAGCAATGGGCCCTCATGAGCCATAAAAGCGTCAAGCGCGTAAATTTTCACGCAGCCAACAAAAGCAACAAAAATGGCCAAAAACCGATAAAGCCCTAGATGAATACGAAGAGGCAGAAGCTCAAGTTGGTAGCTGAAGTTGGGAAAACGAGAAAAGCGGCAAAAACATTTAGTATTTTATACACTCCAGCTGAGGATTGCAAAAAAATATTAGACGAAAATTGGCCTTTGAACATAAAAGATATAATATAAAAATCATAAATACAATTTTGATGAGTGAAAGAAATATGTATTAGAAAAGCTTTGCGACTAAGTTTGAGGGTCCTTTGATCATGTAATATTTAATTAAATTTTACTATAAATTTTTGTAAATTATTGAAACTGTTATCTACACAATTGTATGGTAAGCTTTCAATATTTCAATATTCATTGAATTGTATATTTCAATATTGGGTTCATATTACTTACATAAAAGATTTTCCAAATTATAAAATATAAAAGATAAACTAAATTACAAAGTATTAATTTTAAAATATACCTTAAATTAAATTTCATTATTGTTTTTTTATTTTGTCATAACCGTATATTTTTTTTAGAAAGCTTGGTACCTCACTTAACCCTCAGATTATAAGAACCCTCTTCTCGTTTTATGTTTCTTTTTATTATTTCGCTTTTATTATTTTATTATTTTTATTTTTGGTATATAGAAGAGAAGGCGAAATTTATTTTAACGAGCAAAAGTTTTGTCGGGAGTTGGCCAAAAGCGAGGCCTGAAGCTAGAAAAAGACAGAGATGAGCGGAAAGTTAAGCCAAGTTAAGAGGGCAAAACGGGGCGTGGCAGTGGAGGAGGAAGGTGGAGGGGCGTAGGGCAGGACAATCCCTAAATGGCAATTTGGCTGCCGCAGTCGCTGGCATTTTATTAACGCGGCTAATTCCATGCATGAAACGAAGAAACAAAAAAAGGGAGGGAGGGTGGTTGGCCAGAAGCCCCCCCACCTCTGGTGGACCATCTACCCCCTAACACTGTCAATCCCTACCGTCTCCACCCCTGCCTGCATTCTCTGGTCGTCATTTCTGTTTTAGCTAATCTCTGACTCGGTTTTAGCCTGCACGTAACCAAAATCCAGATACAGTTAAAGCCAAAGCCAAAGCTAAAGCTACTCTGGCATGCCCCTCCCTTTGGGGCAAGTGCCTCTGGCTTACACATAAAGACCAAAAACCAAAAAAAAATAAGAAAAAAAGTAAAAGAAATGGAGGGAAGAATATTGGGGAAGCGGAATTTATAAATAAAAACGCTACAAATCCGCTTGGCTTGCTCTTCTCGTATCAAGAAAAATGCTGCGAAAAAGTTTGCGTTTTTCCGTTTCGTGTTCTTGGCATGCATTTTTAAGCTAACAGGATGGACAGGACCTCTGCTCCCTTCCCTCTCACGGGACTCGCAAGGATACCCTATAAACAACAAGGATTAGGAACAGTATGACATACAAAAAAAAACTTTTTCGCGAAAGTTTCTCTTATTTTTGTTGTTGTTCTTTTGGAAAAAAATACTTTCACTTCAAGTTATTTGACATTTAACTTGAAGAAAGATTTCTCCTTTTTTTTAGGTTCTTTAAACTATAGGGGCTTGTAATTTAAACGAAGTTTTGGTGGGAACTTTAAGAAAAAATTGAAGCTTGATCTTTGAAGTCTATTTTATCATTTCTTAATTTGAGGTTAGAAAATAGTTTTCTAGAACTTTTTGAAGAATATCTAGTGTCTTTCAAAAGATCTAGGATCTCTAGGAAAAAATTTTTTTAAAAACATACACTCAATCTACATACATTAATCTGTAATTAATAAAAGTTAAAAAAAAATCTCAATAAATATACACTTTTTAATTGATTCCTTCTAACTTCTTTCCGGATTTTGTACAGAAACTTAGGATACTGTTGGCAAGATCGTGGAAAAAAATGATTCAGGTTCAGGTTAGATTCAGGTAGATAAGATCCCAATACACCCACTTTTTGAAATCCGAGGCCCTGAAAGAACCGTCTTGAGGTAAACTATATGCTATACACTCGAACATATGTATGTATATCCTACCATATCCTGACAAGAAAAACCTCAGACTTGCATGCCATTAATAAAAACTAAAAATAAACATAAAATGGGCGGCAATATGCCCGTATTGGGCCTCCAAAAATGTAATCGAATGGATTAAAAGGGCAGACTACTAGTAAGTGGAATAAATTCCACAAAAAAGTAGGAATGAGAAGAAAATCTGTGGAAATATTCTGTGTGTGGCAGGGAAAGTGCTAACTAATCTGCATAGCTGGCAAATTATCTTCCCCATGGCTATTCTTCTTTCTCTCTCTACTACACACTATTTATCTCTTTCGCTCGCCCTTTCTCGCTCCCTGTTATCCTGACGCTGTGTCTGGCACTGATTTCCGCCATTTAAGCTTGCATGCAAAATCTCGTCCGTTGGAAAATCTCCTGAAATTCTGCACTTGACAGCACTCCATTCAACGTAATTCTGCATGTGAATTTTAGATTTTAGACTCGGAATGTGAATGTGCAATGAGAGTACCAGGGTGTCTATCAAATGGGGGTTTTGGATGAACTCTCAGTAACTGGGGGAAACTAATATGTTTGCATAAAAAATAATAAGTTGTAGAAAATATATATATGTGCAAGAAAAATTACTGAAATTTAAATAAAACATATTCTTAAGATATTGTTGATATTAAGTATGAATATTAATGATAACTCATAACTCATGCAGTTATAGAAACTTAAGGGATGGCTAATAATAGTTTTTTCATAGCTTAAAAAAATGGATTAAAAAGTGAAGAAAAATGCCCAAATTCTTTAAAAATAATTCAAAAATCAAGTTTTGATCGTATTTTAAGAAACATTTTTTAAGCTTTGCCACTGATATTAATAGAGCATTGAAACTATTAAGTAATAATTTAAAAACAACAAATCCCCTTGTTTACAAAAAAATAACCCCTAACAATTCCAAAAAAAATAAACTAACATAATTCCCTTTAAAACCATTCTAATAAATTTATCTCAGTGTAATCCCCTGCAAAGCGAGTGACTACTTGAAAAGGGTTTTCGCAGGATGTCTGATGGGATAAGGCGCGTTTAATTGGGGCTAACTGGACGGGTTGAAGGAGCAGGAAATTTAATTGGAATGCAGGGTGATGCCTCTCTTATCCTGTTTCCTGAATCCTATCACTCCATCTCATACCACTCATCCCCCCCTATCTAATAACCCAAATTTAGCGAAGTGTCCTTGGCAGACGTTGTCCTGCAGCAAGTGTCACACATGCCGCATGCCACACGAGCACAACAATGTGATTAAAATGCAATTTGCTGCCATTTACTTTGAGCATAAGGCGACTGCGAAATGCTGAAAAGCTGCTGTAAGCATTACCAAGGCACTGAGAGAAAAAAGGTCTGCAAAAAAATGAATTTATCTATCTATTTTCCAAAAAATAAAAAGCCACAGGTAACAACTCTCATAAAGGGTTTTTAAAAAACTCTTTAGAAAAACTTGCCCTATAAGATCTGTAAGTCGTATTTCTTAAGAAATCCCTCACGAATATTTCCCTAAATTATCAACTCTCCTACATTTTTATAAAAAATACTCACCTTTTCTAATATTTTCTCTCTGTTCTTTGGTGTTTATGTTGCATTGGAATTCCGACAAGAAGTCAGCTAACTGGCGTATCCTTGCGACCTCCTTCCCATGCGCGTATGGATGTATGGGTGTCCTGCACATTCATTTCCGCTTAAAGTAGAGAAAATAATAAAATTTTATTATGCACTTGCCGCCTTGCCTTGAATGGCAATGATGATGATGATGATGATAATCGTGACAAAGGACGAATAACAGCAACCGGATGCCAACACTCTAGTGTGTTCATGAGTGTGTGTGTGTTTGTTTGTAATTTATGGCAAGCAGGTCCTTTACTCACACAGTCAAGTGTTCCTCGTTACTCGTTGGACATTCAAATTACAAAACATCTCCAAGTCAAGTTTTCACATAAATTTTTAGTTTAGGAATTTGGAAGGCATAAATATTGAAAAGGAAAGATGAAAAGGTTAGAGGAATGTCAACAATTTGAGGAGTACGCTTTAGAGAATTTTTATAAATTTTTTAAAGAATAATTTTTTAAGAAAACTATCCAAGGAATTAATATTGTAGGGTTGTGTATTTAAATACGAACCCTTTTTTCTGCGTGTCTCTCATTTTTCTCTTTTTCTTTATCCTTTACACTTTTGCCCTGTTTCCCTTATTCTTTCCCCCCGCCCTTGTCCCAAAATGATTGATGATGAATGATTGATGCTTGATTTATGTATTCCGCACTTTATTTACGTCTGGGGCTGCACTTAAAATCCGCACCGAAAATGCAACAAAATTTCTGTGGGTGGAAGTAACCCAGAAAGTAAAGTGCGTTAAAGTACCAACAGATTTGAAAGCTTGCCAGCTCCCCCCTTATCCCCTTTACAGCCCTCCTTCTCCTACTCTAACTAAAACCAGCCAACCCTAACCCCACAAAACGCCCCCCTTTTTGGGGTACGTACGACTATGTAGAGTGTTTTGTGCTGCTTCGTTAGTCTGACAGCTTTTCGGTTTTCGATTCGCTTCGATGGTTCACTGGCTGCCTAGCATCCTGGCAGCCTAACCCTATATCCTGGCAATGCAGCACCACCTCTGCGTATATGAGGTCAACATAAATGCATTTATTTCAGCTCTTTAAGCTTTAATTAATCCAAACAAGATGTCAAGAGTATTTACCTTGGCAAGGAAACACAAACTATGCACTTTCAAGAGCAAATAATAAAGTAAATCGTACGAAATGCGATTAATTAAATAGGCCATTTAATAGTTACAACATGTCGAATGCACAGGAACCTACAGGGTGGAAGTTTCATTAATTTTCTTCAAGTATCTAAAAGTTTGATGGAAGATTTTTCCACATCAACTGACTTGACTCTAAACTTTCCATGAAATAACTCAAAATACTGAACTAAAAGTTATAAACTTTGAACAGCGTATACTTAATAATATCACGCATACGCCACGTGGAACCGCCGCGACAGCTGTCAATGCAAAGCCTGCCAATTAATTGGAAACTAATTGAAAAGTGGGCCCCAAAACGCAACCTAAGCCCACCATCTGACACTTGTCCGGCTGCGGCCTTGTGCATATTTCATTTAAAATCATCGATCGACCCACACAACCTACTTTAACAGAGACCACGAAAATATTGAAATTGAAACTGAGAAAATGTAACTAAAAATGTAACTCAAAAGTGTAACACTCTCTGGCATTTTTTTTCGCCTTTGGCAAACACTTGAGAGCTGACGCCTCAATGGAGCTTTTATCAAAAAAGCAAACGCCAACCAAGTGAGCTCCAGACGAGCCTCAAGTCTTAAGTCCTGAGTCCTTAGTCCTTAGACCTCCCCAAGCTGAAATGCAAACAGCTGGGAAGTCGAGTTGAGTTCTTGCCACACAGAAAGCCCTAAAATAAATCATTTTTATAAAATAATGACTATTTAAATACTCTTTATAAAAATCTTTATAATAAATTTGAAAAATTAAATATGCTATAGAGCTAAATATATATAGAAATGTATCTTAAAAAAATATTTTCTACAAAGAAAACCTGAAAACATACCATAGGTTCGTAGCTTGGATGATAGTTAATAGATAAAAATAAGAAGTAATAGAAATAATAATAATATAAATAAAATGAACCTTTTACCCAAACCTAATAAAAACTCTATCAAATTAAAACCCTTATTAAAAAAATGGTCCTTAAAAATACCAAGCTACCCTGCTTTCTGATGCCCTTCCAGCATGCATCAGGTTACTAAGAAATCTATATAAATGCCATATATATTGCACACATACTCCATATAAATTCCATTCCATATGTACATTTATCTACAAACCCCATATGTATATCGAAATCCCTGGTCGAGGTCAACGAAGTGAAATTGCAGTTGACTTTAAAATCGTTCAACCAGAAGATTGCCGTAAGGATTTCTTTATTTTTTTTTGTTGGAAAGGCGACAGATTCAATTCTCTTGATTTACAAGGAAACCATAAATCAGGGAAGCTTTCATCTTTCCGTTAAGGCATTACCAATGCACTTTGACACTTTTATTCTTTTTCTTTTTACTTTTTTTTATTTGTGGATTTTTTTTATCACCTCAAGTATTTCTTACCTCCATGGTTGCCCCAAAAAATCAAACAACAAATCAAAGAAGCCCCAAGGTACACACATACATATATACATATATATAAAAAATAAGGATATTTTTTGCTCCTTAAGAAAGGAAAAAAAATGGAGCCCTGGATTTGTACAAGAAGATGCCATTTGATAAACATTATTGTACATGTCCGACAATTTTTCAACAACAATCGGAGCGTGCCCAGGCATTTGATTGATATGGAGGGTTAAAGGGCAGGGGGGTAAGCAGTAGGGCAGTGGGTATGAGAGTGAGAGTGAGATTCTACATAGTAGGCGTGGCAGTTTAGGTTTTCGGAAAACGATTTAAGGGAATATAAATGACAAAGCATTTCGCTTTTGGCAGCTGTGGAAGTGATTGATTTTGGAATGGCAAAAAAACGACAACTCAGGGTTCTACTTCGTGGAGGATAAGAAAGTGGTTAGGGAAGTGGGTAGGGAGAAAGTGGAACGAAAGTGGAGAGAAAGTTTGAGAGTTGTACTAATACAAGCACACATATTTAATTGCAGCAGCCGGAAATCGCACAAGCGTAAAACCATTTCACATCTGTGGCCGCCAATCAATTGATTTCCGCTCCTGCGACTCCTTCGAATCCTTCGACTCCTTTTTTTTCCACCATCTTAGTCTTTCCCCAAAAAAAAAACCCTTCCAAGCTTTACTTACATTTTGTAGGTTTTTTGTACATTTTTCTAAACGAATGACCCGGATAGACTCCACTGATATAGATAATTCTTTCATTTATCCTTTGAAGTTGTAGCTTTCCATTCCTTCTTTTGAATTTTATAGAAAGTAGGTCTCTGGATTGGATTTTTTGGGGTTTCTTTAACTGAAAATACACATAAGTAAATTTATTTTTTATTAATATTAAAAATTCTCAAAAAAGAATATATACAATTTAATTTTCAAGACAAACTATTACCAGAAACTCCCCTCAAAAAACCCCAAACACCAACCACACAAAACGCTATCCCTAAAGGACAATAAATAGAACTCAATCCTATTTCCCAATGACGTCTTTCAATTACAACCTAATCCTGGCTGGGCGTCAATTTATTAGATATTATTATATGTATGGATTTTGCTATATTTCCATACAAATGTGACAGATGCTACAGACATGGCGAGTGATGACAAATGTGTCCTTTTGGCGGGTATCCTTTGGCGTGTTATGATGATCATTGGCGCAAAGCAATGGCATCAGTAACATCATCAACATCATCATTATCATCAATTCGTGTCCAGTTTGAACTTCCGGTTGGTGTCTTCCGTTTGTTTGATTGCCTTTTTCGCAGTGTGCGTGCGTGACCGTTGGCCAGGATACGTCAGGATGCGGCAGGATATAGCAGGATATGCCGTAGCTGGCAGGCAGGCAGGCACGGAAAAAGTAAGGGAAACTGGGGCAACGCCATACTGGAATTGATTGAGCTGTCGACTGTTTGTCTTTCTCTCATTCTCGTCCTCGTCCTCATCCTCATTCTCATTCCTGTCTCCTTCGCGGGTGATCCTTGTGGCAAACGTCCTTGGGAAATGCGTCGCATAATTAATTTTCACCATTCACTGTTCACTGTTCCACGGTTCGCCACTGGAAAATTGTATTGCGAAATTGGCCAACAATGGCGAACAAGTTGGCCGTTAAGAAATCGATAGCATTTTGAATAAATCGAAATGATTTATTCATTCGAGCCTCGAGCCACAAGCTTTGAGCTTTGAGCCTCGAACTATCCGTTTCATATGTCGGCCGGCTAATCAGGATATGCCATCAAGGATATTTAATGTCTCTTGCATTTATACATTTGTCGATTTATGCCGATTTATTTATGCAAATACTTTTACATTTACATTTTCATTATCCTTTCGATTGTCCATCAATGTTTTGCATAAATCATGTTTGTTTCATAATTTATTGCCTTCTGATTTGCTAAAAATTAGTCAAGTTCACAGGCCAAGGTTGTTAGTTAAATGAATTTTTAGTCATTTGACATTTGTGTCAGATTTGACAATAAAAAATAAATACATTTTTGTGGGAATTTAAATCAGTTACCTGGCCACGGGGAATGTGCGATTTTTAATGAATAAATCGAGTTTCCTTACCTTTTAGAAAACACCAAATGCGTTTCATAAAAATCAAGTTTGGTGGTAAAGCGCTGCTTTTATTTCCGAATTCATTTTTTTTTTTTCAACATTCTAAACAATACATTCTTTTAAATTTTAAAACACATTTTTAACCCTTGGGTTTGATTTTAAAAACCCATTCTTGTAAGCCAACAATCAAATCGATGCTTTAGGTAGTCCATTAGTCCAAACGTACTTGAGGAATTTTGAAAGCTTACTTCATTACTGGGTTTCTTCTTTGTTTTCTCCATTCAATCCCACGTCCTTCCACATCCCGGCACAGCCCCAACGAATCTTCGACATGGAGACCATTACTTCCTCCTCATCGTTGTCTTGATCTTCGTCCTTTGATTCCTTGGACATCTCCTGTGCGGCCTGGCGGAGGGCGCGAGCAGCACGCCTGGCGAAGGCATTTCGGTTGAAAACCATCACACTTAGATGCCCCTTGGGACTGGAGTGCTTCTGAAAAATCTCCCTCAAGCGATCGTCGATAGCGTCTCCAATCAATATGGCAGTCTCCTCGCCGGTGATGAACATAAGACGGGGAATAGCCGGGTCCTTTCCAATCCATATATCGTTTTTCGGCATCAAAATGCCCTTGGGTTCATTTAAAATCATCTCGACAGCTTCTTGGTTAATCGAAGGTGAGGCCTTGTCCTCCCCAGGCATTGCTTTAGACACGTCTAGCTCCAGTACTTCTTCTGGTAGTCCCAGCTGGTCAATGGTCTTGTCTGCTTCTCGCAAGTGTTCGTCAACTTCAAGAATCTTCGCCATGGAGGGAATCACTTCAGATTCCAGCAAGGGTCCAAGTTCGGGCTCCTGGGAGACACAGATGTGTAACTGGGAGACGGCCAGCTTCTCGAAATATTCGATCATCTTGAATACTTTCTTTTGGTCTTCCATTGTTGTCTCAAAGTGTTTCTCCTTCCAATTTAAAAATTTCCAATAGAAAATTGTACAAATTTGTATCTAAAGTCGAAACGTCTGTGAGGCTGTCTAGTTTGTGACTGAAATGTATTTTGGTTTCTCTCACTTGGTTTGAAAATTTCAATTCCATGGCCCACTTGGTGCGGAAATTTTTTCAAAAAGCTAGTAAGTACAATGGGCCTGACTGGATTTTAGTGGGACATATTATATGAAATTTACAAATATAAAATATACATTATTAAGACAAAAATTGAGGAGTTAGTTTCGTGAGTTCTATAGCATATATTTTTACAACGAAGAAAAATGGGATTTTTTAATGTTTGGATCCTGAAATTCCTATATCTTCCATATATCTTTATATAATCTAAAAACCTTAACTTAAGTACCACTGGTTCTAATTCATTTAATTAACTTAAAATGCTTACTAATCCAATAATAAATCTAATAAATCCCTCCGCAGCCTCTATATTAAAAAAGCCACTAATTTCCAATATTAACCCTTGTTGGCTTAACAGTCTTAGCCGTCTTTCCCCCCTTTTTGCGGTGCCACCAATCCATCCCCTTTTTGTCAACATAGTTGTTGCCTTTTTTTGTTGCCTCATCTTCCATATGCCACAGATTTTGATTTTATGAGCGGCACATGGATGGGTTCCATTATGATTTTTTTTTATGATCGACTCGCCAATCTTTGTATGTTTTGGGGGCGTGGCACTCATTAATAGACAGCCCTCATACAGCCCATCCCATGGCTCATGTTTAATACATGGGCTTATGGAAACATAGGCGGGGTTAGCCAAGAAAAAAGGGGGTTTTAGCAAAGAATAACTCAAGTGGCTGGAGGTTTCGGTTTCAAAAACTTCAGACAGGATTCTTTCTTTTCCTTTTCCGTTTGAAGGTCAGATCCGGCCACTCTCCACCTCCTTCTCACCATTTTTTCGCCACTTCCATGCGCGTTTTCGTGTCGCCATTGAGACATTTTGGCATCAAGTTTATTTTGTATGAATTTATGGGCCAAAAAGCTTTTCCTCTTCATGCAAATTTCTATGGCCACTTTGTAGGTGGATGTGGCACTGTGGCAAGCAGCGAAAAATGCCACACGAAGATATCTATAGGGAGGCTATGGGGGGCGTGGCCTGGACCTAAATCAAGCTGAGTGCCTGCAAATGGCAATCAGCTGAGAATAATGGCGATTATATATGTGGGCCAGGCCAACAAAATGCGAATATGATTTCACCCAAGGAGAGATAAAGGAACTGGTTTCCAACTATATTAAATGGATAATTTAATCAGAGTGAGAGCTATAGCTTATGGGGATTTATTATTTTATCAACTACTAGATGGCATATTTATAGGAAAATGCGGGGATAACATTTTAAGGGATTTGAGTTATAAAAGTCTAGGTTTTGGTATTGGGAGCAAATGTTATATTTAATAATAATATACCTTTATGGTACCTCTTTAGAACCTGAATAGGTTTTAAAACATTTTTAGTATATTTAAGCAATTTATTATAGATGATAGTCACCATTTATAGTAAAGCTACTAAACTATATAATACCAAATACTTGCATTCCTAGACTTTTCTGAATTATTACTACAGAAATACATATATCATTATTAGAGGCAATTATAATTTTTAAAAAATGAGTGTGTATGACTCCTGGAAGTCTATATTTCAAATATTATGACCCTACCTCTAATAGATCTTCGAGATCCAGATGTTCTCTTTCTAAAAGGTGTTCTACAAGTATCCGGGTATCCACATTATGTTATTTTTTTCAATAATTTTTAAACACTTCTTAACAGATAGTTTATAGTTTTATATATATGTTTTTATATCCATAGTAGCATAGTATTTCAGAATTTCTAATAAAACTTTTATGAAAATTATCAGAAAAATATTCCGGTTTCTAAAATAATTCTAAACAACAACCCCTTCAAATTGCATTAAGGGGACCCCCCCCATTCTCGATTTTAAATTTTGACGATTTTCAATGGGCTGGCAAATGGACATAAATTATTTTTTAGGGTTGTAACTGTGCTTACATATATTAAGACACAAAAAGGAAGAAAATCATTTCACAGAATTTTTTTTTGTTTTGTTTTTGTTGTTGTTTTTTGTGATCAAAGAAAAGCCCTTCTTTTCGGCGGCGCATGTGATTTCCGCTCACTGGAACATCGGAATCCAAAAATTCCAACGGGATTAGAAAAATTACATGTTTGGCTCTCGTATGAACTAGGATTATTAACTTCGCTTAATAATTAACAAAATGGCGGACCTTTGAAATTTTTTTTTTTAAATTTCCATATTTTCCAGCCACAAATCGAGTTGAAAAGTAAAGAAGATCTTCACCGATTTGATTTATCCTAGTTCATACGAGAGCTATATATGTATAGAATAACGTGTTAAAATTTGGAAACGATTGGATTAATAGTTTTTGAGTAACCTCATGCGCCAGTTGTAAAAACACTGTTTCGAGAAAAACGCGTTTAAAGTTTTGAGACGGCTCTCGCCGTCGCCTGAGGCTTCCATCATAAATCGGCTATATCTTCAAGAGTTTTCGAAATTTTGACTTGAAATTTTCAGGGAACATTCTTGAATAGTTATAAGTTCGAATTAAATTAAAAACAAGAAAGGAAAGCTAACTTCGGGCGGAGCCGAAGTTGATATACCCTTGCAGTTAAAACCGGATATATATTGCAAACATCGGATATAGTTGGTATATAGTTAGTATATAGTTCTACCAAGTACCATTTCCGATCGTTCAGTTATATGGCAGCT